CAAAATAAAATTCCTTTCTAGAAAGCCAAGGTCATCCTTTGTCTCTGCACCTCTGTAAAGTCAGTACATATACCTAGTAAGAATAACTGAGGATAAACTTTATCCTTCTTTTAAAGACATTTTGCATAATCCACTATATTTTTATCCAGAATGCCTTAACCTTTGTAGTAACTTAAGAACCATATTGGCTGGGGGTTTAAGGCAAATAGCTGAGGCCACAGAGGAGAAAATTTTCCTGGTAGACTTTTGTTGTTCCTTAAAGAACTATTTTAGGGTTTTCATTACAATGTTCATGTGTTTGCTGAATTAACATAAAAGAAAACTCCACTACCCATTTTCAACAATGAAGATCAGTCAGGGCAGAAGGGGCAAAACTGGGCCACAGAATATGTGTCCTACCCTATCAGAAAATATGAGAACTTCACAAAAGAAATATTTATATACACTATAATAACTTTCACTTTGTTGCATTGGAAAAAGAGTTTTATTGGATCATTGTCCAGAAAGCATCAGCATTCAAAATGAGTCAGCAGTAAAAAAGAATATGACAGAGACAATGTGTCTATGTAATAGAAAGAAATAGAAATAGAATTGGACCCAAGAACTGGAGTGAAATAATGTTTGTTTGGAACTGCTGATTTCATATGCAGATTTCCATGAAATATTTCTTGGCTTTCGACTTAATCTTCAAATCAAGCCAACCATTGCTTCTTGTTGGATCAGAAACAAGGTCAAGACACCCTCCTGACCTAGGTGGTTATTGCTTCAGCTGTATGTAGGAGAGAGAGAGAGGCCAAACCAAGAGGAGGAGTCAAATGAAGAATTAGTCTGGAATCCTTACATGGGTACAAGATTGTAAAATCCAACAACACTCCTTGAATGTTGTTGAACCTTATCTAGTCTCATCCAAGTATAAATTGGGAGTCTGAGAAGATTCCTGTGTATAGGCTTGAGCAATATAACTTTTCAGGGTCCCCATCTTTCTAATCTGGTCCTTAACCACTAGACCAAACTGGCTGAGGTTTACTATGTGTGGATGATCAATCGCCGTTATTTTATTATTATTAGTTCAGAACTTATTCTTTAAAAGTAAAGCACTAAACACAGTTCATCAATTACTCATTTTATGACATCCTTTTTTTAAAAAAAATTAAAGACTCAGGAATGAGAATGAAGACATTTGGAAGTTTTAAGAAGAGATTAGACAACCATTTTTCTGAAATGGTATAGGGTTTCCTGCCTGAGCAGAGGATAGGACTAGAAGACCGCCAAGGTCCCTTCCAACTCTGTTATTCTGTATTCTAAATAATCCATAAAAGATTTTTGATATTATCTGTCCTGAAACCAGCCTTTAGTTGCCAAAGCACCTGAAAGTCAAACAATTTCCAGATTTAGCCCCCAAAATAATTGCATATGAATTTAATACCATGATACTTTGTTGAGCAGCCACTGATCTTATTTTCTTATTATGACAGTGAATATTGTACTTGAATTACATTTTCATAGCAGATAAATAGTGAAATAAATATTTTTTTAAAAAAAACCTCTCTCTTCTCCAAAATTGTTAAAGAACATTAATGAGAATAGTAAACACACTTTTGAATCTTTCTTCATTATAACTTTTACAATCATCATAAAAATCAATAAATTTCTTTGAAAGTTGCAGGCATTTGTCCTACTTACCACCAACATCCAAATCCACCTTGAAATGAATATTGTGGGTGAGAATTATTCCAAGCACTCTTTCTTGAACTCGGTTGCCAAAGTCTTTGGCATTACAAAAGTAAAATGAAGTTTGAATGTACCCAGTGACATGGACTCGAACACCAACAGCTCCATTTTGGTGGAAAATAAAATCCCAGACATAGTCATAGTTGCCAAGTGAAGATATGGTTCGGAACACTAGCTTTGAATCTGCCAACCCTCCATAAAAAGGAGACTGGATGCTTTCATAATGTCGTCGTATGGGTAACTCAGCATTCTGCTCAAAGATGCAGATAGCCTTTTTACGGCTAACAGGTAATGAAGTATCATAAAAAAAGTGCCAGTCCAAGTAACTGGATAAATAAGGACAATCTACTCCCTGGGTGAGTGGAAAGATAAATGATCCAAGTCCAAAACCCATATTCATGTATCTGATCAACATAGAAGTAGGACTGTTGGAGCCATAGATAGCACTTGCTTCTTGCAAACTTAATTCATAGATTATTCTTTCTCCATTAAACCTGACATCAAAGATACGTGGACCCCTGCTGGCATCAATTCCAAATGCAAAACTCCAGTTCAGAAAGGTGACTTGATTATTCTGAATCCTATAGCGTGGTTCACGAGGTACATACTGCAAAGGGTGTGTAAGATTTGATGACACCCTTTGCTTCAGTGATGAATGACCTCCATCAGGAGGGGCCTCTATAACCTTGTCTACTGTAACCTGTCCCATATTGAATTGTCTCTCAAGATCTTCCATGTCTTCAAAGTATTGTCCATTATAGAAAACTTTTATTACCTTCCACTCGGAAATATTCAGGCTACTGTGATCCACTTGGACCTCAAGCCCAACGGGATGCAAATAATAGCCAGTCACATTCTGGAAATGACTCACCCACATTTTGCGATCTCCTGATTTAAGTCCTGGTGGCAATTGATGAATGTATTGAATATTGCTTCCATTGTAATTGAGAACCTCTTGCATGAATATTGGAGCCTTAGGATATTCGTCCTTTAAAAATTCATTGATTTCATTAAACTCATTTGTCAAAACAAATCTTTGAGAATAAGACAGTTTCCTTCCATATTTTTGTGCCGTGATATCATCATGATATGTTGGTTCTGGTAGTGGACCCACCACAAATTCTGTCACATTGGGGTCCACCTGATTTCCAAAATGGACCACAGCCAGAGCTTCCCGTGCTGGTCTAGAACCTTGATGATCTAAGAATTGTAATACTTGTGCTTTGGGAGGGAGCTGCACAGTGATCAAATAAATGCAGTTGTCTGATGGTTTGGCTTGAGGCGTCTCCACTAGTGGTACTCCCAGGTTGGACTCTAAATACCTCTTTACTTGTATTATCTCTTCTGGGGTTAAATCTTGAAATACCTGTTTGTCAGTATCTTGACCACCTTCCTCTTGCCCCTTTGTTTGGGAAGAGTTCTCACAATCTGTGGGTTTTTCCTCTGTATTTCGGAAACTCAAGGCTAAAATAATAACAATGGTGATGCTTATTGCTACAAGACAATAGACCGCTTTTGAATTCATTTTTCCAAACCTATTGACAGAATCATACAAAACAGTTTGTTAAATCCCAAATTATCAAGTTTTAATTCTAAACACAAAAATTAAATCATATAAGTTTCAAGTGTATAAATTCCTTGCATTTACAAAACACTCCAGAAATTGTGCAAAGATAAGCAATCATATGTGAAATTTATATTTACCAACGTAGAAATGAAGGGAGACTGGTATAGAACTATTTCAAGCTAGTTAGCCTTCGTCAGCTGGCCATACCCTTCTGGGATTCGAACCTGATGAACCAGCCAGCTGACAAGAGCTAAATAGCTTGAAATATATCTATACTAGTCTTCCTTTATTTCTTTGCTGGTAAATATAAATTTAACACAAAATAGTTTGTCGTGAATGCAACTGCCTGCAAAAGCAGGCAGGATTGGAGCGAAAGAGGAAGCAGTATGCTCTGTCCCATATTTAGGTGGACCATGTTGTCCTAATTAAAAAAAAACCTCATATATTCACATTTTCAATAATCTTACCATCTAGACAGGATACTCCTTTTTTCATTAGCTAAAACCGAGAAGTCAGAAAAAGGCAATGCCTGGACACTTCTAAATCAGCCAGATGTTTTGTTCAAGAAACTATATATAGGTTAAAAGGGAGGAAACCTCTTATGCAAATGTGTCTTTCAACTATAATTTTCTGCTTTGAAAAAAGCTGAAGAAAGTTCTGGTGCTACCCTTTAATCATTTTCTCAAGTTGTCAGTGTTCAACATAATTCATTTCTCCCAATTGTAGAATGGTTGGGCTAGATGCTACCTTCTATATACAACAGGTAAATTTATCTCTGTCCATCCAACTTTTTAAAAGATAACAAAAGTTCCAGAATCAGAGTCACACTTTGATTGCCTCTTATCCTTTTTTTTAAAAACGAACCTGGCCAATGGTGGGATTCAAATTTTTCTACTACTGGTTCGGTGGGCATGGCTTCGCGGGTGTGGCATGGCTTGGTGGGGGTGGCATGGCTTGGTGGGGGTGGCTTGGTGGGAGTGGTAGGGGAAGGATACTGTAAAATCTCCATTCCCTCCCCACTCCAGGGGAAGGTTACAGCAAAATCCCCATTTCCTCTTGATCAGCTGGGACTTGGAAGGCAGAGAATGGATGGGGGTGGGGCAAATCACAGGTGGTGTTTACCTGTTCTCTGAACTACTCAAAATTTCTGCTACTGATTCTCCAGAACTGGTCAAAACCTGCTGAATATGACCTCTGAACCTGGCCCTTAAGGACTGTTCTTTGATCAGTATTTATTCTATTGTTAAAATTATTTTTAGTTGTGGCATTCAAACAATTGCACAACTAAATGGGGAAAAAAACAGGGTATTTCTATGCAGTGAGCAAACACTTGGACTTGAAACCCACCTGGCTGCAAATAATAGCCAGTGATTTCCTGAAAATGACTCACCTACATTTTGCAATCTTCTGATTTTAGCCCTAGTGCAACTAATTTATCTTTGTCAATTTCATATGACTACTTTAAAAGCCTACATCAAAAAGTCAATGGTTTCAACAATTAATTAAAACAATAAATACAATCATAATTAAAAATACAAAACAGTCATCATAAACAAAATAAAACCACATAGTGGAGAATGTATGAACCACAGTTATGGAATCATTGTAACATTTCACAGGTTCCTTGGTGCCCCCAGATCTGATAACAGAGCCAAGTCTTTACAGATTTTCTGAACATTAAGGGTGATGTGGGGGAAGATGTTTTATAAGGCAAGTGCCACTGCAGGGATGGCCTGCCTTTTTGGACCCACCAGCATAGACCATAGTGGACAGAAGCCACAGCGTATCTTCTCTGCTAGACCTGATAGGAGAGGCAGCAGCGGTGGGTTCCAGATCCTGTTACAACTGGTACGGTGCAATGGGGCTGGGTGCCTACCACATGGACACCCATGTGCGCAGCGTGCGTAGGCGTACTTACTGCCTATGACGCTCTAGCTGCTTGGCGGAGTGTCACACAGGCGCCATGCGCTCCGTATGCTTACATGGGAGCCCTGAAAATTTCATAAACTGGTAAGAACCATGGACGGGTGGGTGGGCCCTCCAGAGCACCATACTGGAACAGTACCTGGTGCTCCTGGCAGGCACTGGTATGCCCATAACAGGGTGTACCGGTCGTAACCCACGATTGACAGGCAGATATAATCCAAGAAAGTGTTGTGGCTTGCCAGCAGAGCCGTACAGTGAGGAGGTTGGGGAGGAACACGGGCCAGTTCTGGAGGCTGGGGAAGGCTCAGACGAGCGCTCTGTGTCAGAGGCAGAAATGGGGCCAAGGCTGTCTGGCAGTTCTCAGCTGCCTTCAGAGCTAGACAACAGTGAGGCAGAGGAACAGCTGGAGCCCGTTCCCAGTGTGTGCATGAGCAGAGCTGCCAGAAGGAAAAAAATCACTCAGAAATCAGGGTCAACTTGGGTGTAAAGCCATAGGTGGACGGTGAATGGCCCCTCCCATAGGAAATAAAAGAGGAGTCAAAAGGGAGTGGGCTTTTGCAGGAAACAATTCATTTGTTCATTCTTTCATTCATTCCTTTCAGGAGTGTGAAGATCTGTCTGTGAATCTCAGAGACCCTGTGCCAAGTTTTTCTTTGCACTGCACTGCAGGTGGAAAATATTTACATGGCAGATTTCCAAGCTAGATAACGTCTGTGGTCATAAATTTACCATTGAAAGACTGTTTACCAGGCCTTTGCTGAATGTGAATGAGAGGAATTAACGTTCGTTTAATAAAAGGGGTTTTGTCGGGACCATGAATCTGCTTCCTGCTTTTTGGGGAAGTCTAGGTCAGAACAGAAAGATGGTCACTTATATAACCCAGTCCCATGTCATTAAGGGCTTTAAAGATTAAAATCAACATCTTTAATTGGGCCAAGAAGCCCATCGGCAACCAATCAGCCTTGGGGACAGAAATGTAACATTGCTCTTCTAGAAGCACATATAACTGCCCCTGACCCTGTATTCTGCATCAGCAGAAGCTTCTGTATACTCTTCAAGGGCAGCCCTATGTATGATGCATTACACAAGTTAAATCAGGAGTAACTAGGGCATAAATGACTGCGAACAGAGCTCCTCCTCCCCAAATCTAACAACAGCTTTAGAAATCATTCCAGGAAAGTCAGAAGAACGTCTTTTAATTAGGTGTTAAATTATATGATGAAGAGGAAATAAAGCCAAATTACAGATTCATAGAGTCAAAAGGGATCTTACAGTCATATAGTCCATCCTTCTGTTCTTTGTGGGATGGCTGAGGAAGAAGCAAGATTTATAGTAAGATAGGATAAGAAGTGAATAATTAATAAAAAAGGTAAATACTATTCAGTTGTGGAATTTAGATACAAAACACTGTTTAATCCCTGAAATCCCTTAACCAACATCTGCCCTTAGCTGTTTATTAAATATTCCTCTGATTTCATTTATAAATATGTGAGGAACTTCATGTCAAAGTGAAAAACATACACATTATTACATTTGGACAATTCAGTGGCTTTGTTCTTGATATCTTTCCTGTTTTTGAGGGCCAGTAAGTATGCTTGGAATGTTGAGAAGATCTTAGGGTAGTTTCATCAGTGGCTTCTGGCAAAGATGTTGCCAAAGCTATTGAGTATGTGTAGCCTTCTGGGAAGTTTGGAGCTTTGCAAGAGAAGTTGAGGGCTTAAATGCCTGCTTTGTGCCAATATAAGAATGATGATTCATAGGATTTGTTTCAGGATTTTAGGATTGACTGATAATAGCATTGAAAGCAGGTTGGTGGTAGAAGAAACAGCTGCTTAAATCACTTATGGCATTTACTGGAGCCTTTGAAGTTATCAGGCTGTTTGGTTCTTAATTGTCTGACAGTCTAGAAGAGGCTTGTAGTCTGCGTTTCTTTGGCTGTGTATTTTCCATTTATTTCCAAATCCAAAATGGGTTTTTATTTTTCAATGCAGAAAGAAAAAAAACTGAATGCAAAAGCAGAACTTGAAAGCAAATGCACTAAATGAGCCAAGATGTTTCACCCCAATCAGCAAAAAATGCAATGAAATAACAGTGAAATACTATCAGCACAGTTTGATTTAGATGAAAATCTGGGAAAAAGAAAGTTAATAGTTATGATGATCAAATTTAAGCTTCATTCTGTGTTTCTATTAATGGATGGATAGAACCAAGGTCACACGAAGTATTAGTACCACTTTACAAAGCCTTAGTAAGACCACCCTTTGGAATACTGCTTCCAATTTTTGTCACCACTGTATAAAAAAGGTGTTGAGACACTGGAAAGAATACTAAGAAGACCAAGAAGACCAACAAGGATGATTAGGGGGCTAGAGGCTAAAACTTATGAAGAATGGTTGCAGGAATTTGGTTTGTCTAGTCTAGTGAAAAGAAAGACTAGGGGACAGATGATAGCAGTGTTCCAGTATTTGAGGGGTTACCACAAAGATATGGGGGGAGGGATCAACCTATTTTCCAAAGCACCAGAAAGCAAGATAAGAAATAATGTATGGAACATAATCAAGGAGAGAAGAAATCTAGAACTAAGACAAAATATCCTAATGGTGAGAACAATTAACTAGTATAATGCCTTGTCTTCAGAAATGCTTCATCACTGATGGCTTTTAAGAAGAGGCTGGACAACCACTGGTCTAGAATGGTATAGGGTCTCCTCCTTGAAAAGAGGGTTGGACTAGAAGACCTCCAAGGTCTTTTCCAACTCTGTTATTCTATGTTCTACCCATTACCCAATGCTTCCCAAACTTGTGTAAATTATCTAAAATTGAGTAAAAGAGGTTTTTATTAGGGTGAAGACACACAAATCCATTACCTATCATAACAGGGACATTTAAATAGACTTAAATATTGTCATGTATACTAAAATACATTCAAAAATCCCCTAAAATATTCCTATTAAGATGAAAATCAATGAAATTACAAAAGATAATTTGTTGAAATAACATAACAGATCATTCATTGACAGTACTCCTTGAATT